TAGAATAGCTAATATGGGGCTGGAAATGTAGCTTCGTGGTAGAGTGCTTGCCTAGCATGCATGAAGCCCTGGGTTCCATTCCTCAGTACCACCTACACAGAAAAAGTTGGAAGTGGTAGAGCGCTAACCTTGAGCAAAAGAAGCTCAGGGAAAGTGCCCAGGCCCTGAGTTCAAGCCTCAGGACTGGCAAAAAAAAAAAAAATAGAATAGCTAATAACAGTATATTAAATGGTTAAGTATGATAGTTTCTAAGATTTCTGAACTATTAAACTTATCAAATGTTACCAAAATTAGAGATGTTTATAGATGAAAGGAACCTAGAAGGGGAAGATACTGAGCCACTAAGGTCTAGGAAAATTAAAATGCTTGAATTCTTAAAACTCTCTCCTCGGGCTGGGAAGCTGGCTCAGTGGTAGAGTACTTGCCTTGCATGCACAAGGTCCTGGGTTTGATTCCTCAGCACCACATAAGCGGAAAAAGCCATAAGTGGTGCTGTGGCTGAAGTGGTAGAGCGCTAGCCTTGAGCTGAAGTGCTAAGTGACAGCGCCCAAGCCCAGAGTTCAAGCCCCACGACCAAAAAAAAAAAAAAATCTGTTAAAACTCTCTCCTCTTGCTCAAAACTATTAGCAGTAAGATCCCCAAAGTTACAGGAAAGTTGGTGATCCTACACTAAGAGTGAAGGACTTACTTTTAAATTTCAGCTATTCTAGAAGTGGAAAACATTTCCAGAAAGTTAGTTTTTGTATTGTAATATATTGTGATGTCTGCCAGATGAGAATTAAAATCAGTAGGCAAAAACTGAGAATTAGCTATAAACACAGTTCTTACAACAACATGGGAAATGAGTAAGATTGATTTTTGCAATTTGGAAATTCATTTTTGCTGTATTATAACTCTCTCAGCCATATTATAACTCTCTAATCAGGGATCTGAAAAACTGTTTTCAAATACTACTGATGAAAGATTAATTCCTCTCTCCATCTCCATGACCAAAGCTCCTTGTGAGCTAAACATATATATTACAACAACTGATTGCTTTCTATAATGTATTGTATAAACACTAGCGTCTTTCCAGCATAGACTTTCTAAAACACAGTAACTCATAGAAATCAGAAACATAGTTTATTTAGAAATCAAATACAAAAATAAACCTATATGGTCTTAGGCAAGTACTTTTATTATTTTAATTAGCTCAGTAAATTCAAAAATGGAAAAAATAATATTATAAAAACTTTTGTTTTATCTAGAACTTCATGCACTGAGCATTCAGACACAGAATTACCATTAGGCTGAAAAGTTAATTGAACATTTTCCCATTTAAGAAATCTCATGCACTACACATAGCACACTATTTAGTGACATGCCAAGATAGAAGTGTGATGACAAGCTATATAGAGACAAACAAAATGCAGATTTTTGTCCACAGTGAAACATAAAACTTACCCGTTCTCACCATAAATTTTTTGAAAGAGTCTAAGAAACCAGAAAACCAAAAATTAAAAATAATAATAACCATTTCCCCAGTTGGCTAGTTTCTAAACAAACATTCAATGTCTCTCAGTCTATTGGAGATGGACACATCTCAAAAGGTTTTCTCTTTAGCCACATTTGATCGCGTGTCACGTTTTCATGGACATCATATCTCAACACAAGACTCAGATCAGGTGAAATGTAAAATATTCTTGCTCAAATGAGCTGCAAATCCATATAATAACAAAGTATACTACTTACCAGCAACTAAGTTAGGCTTAGATTACTCATTAATTTGGCCTGATCAGATTTGTCCATCCTCAAGTTCAACACACTCAACATTCATTTTAAAAAGGCAAGTAACATAAACTATAAATTATCACAAAATGGCCACAACAGCATTCATGTAAAATTCAGCCGACAGTAAGATTCATGCATTTTAACAAAGTTTGCCTAAACTTTAAACTATGAACAACACCAAAAAAATAAATTACAACTTGAGAGTCAAAAAAAAAAAACCTAGGTCAAAAACAAAAATCCAATTTCATGTGATTTGCAATGTCATATTGTAAGGGAAAATTTTTTACACACACACACAAAATCAGACAGCCCAAATATGAGAAGCACACAAAACCAACTACAATCAGACTATTACAGAAATGCCTGGACATGCAAATAAAATCTAGAAATATCACTGAGAGTACTTTATGAAACTTCACATGGCAGACAGAGTAGTAGCACACACTTAAAGCTAACGGCAAGATTTGCATATATACCTGCTTAAAATAGGCCTAAGAGTTGTGCATTTTTTCCCACGTAATGATTAAAAGTTTTCTCAAAGCAAATGAAAGTTTTACAGGATGCTTCAAAATGGCACACGACATGCAGAGTTGAACAATTTGATGCTGGGGTTTTTTTTGGGGGGGGAGTCCCCCCCTACAAGAAAAGTCACACAAAGACCATCTAGGACAAGCGAAATTCTTGCACAAACACACTCTGACCTCTCAACCATCAGTCGTTTCTTGTGCCTAAGTTGACTGGCCTCCCGGATAGCCTCCCACTTCTGCAAGTCGGCCTCACTGCAGGGACCAGGGGTAAAACTGATGGGAGGAACAGAAGGCCCCAGTGTCCAAGACTGAATCTTGCGAGTCAGCATATCATCCTTCTTCTGCCGAAAGGACGGAACTAATATTCTACAGCTAGTACTCTTTTCTTTGGGTGGGCATGTCCTTTCCAGAACACAGAGAAATTTTGCTTGAATTTCCGGAGGCAGAGTCCAGGGTTCAGGAAAAGGGACTGGCTGGTATCTATCGGGGGCCCCAGACAGAGGCACTTCTTTCTTCTGTGCTGGAATTCGGCGAACAATCATATCATCTTTTTCCAAATCTGGAAGTACGAGGTCACCCTCTCTACATTGCAAAATTATATCTCGCTCTACAGAATCGTCTTGCTCAGAGAACCTTCTAAAGTCTTCAAAAGCTCGGAGAACACAGGGATTTGCATGGAAAGCCCCTGTTTTTCTGACAAAGAAATCATCATTTTCTAAATCAGGGTCCAAGGTTGGCATCTCAAGGTCATCTCTTCTAAAGCCTGGTGCGTGAGGAAGGTTCTTTCTGCGTGTTATGAGCCTTGGGCCAGAAGTGGGATCAATTCTGACATTTGTTTCAGAAGACAAGATGTCATCAGAGTATGTTTGGAGAGCCTGAAGTAATAAAAACTGACTGAAGCAAAGAAAAGAGAAACGAAGGGAGAGTCTGATTAAGTATAAGAGAGAAAAGGTAATTAGGAACAGACTAACTAGGCCAGAGGTAAATTATTTTATGGGGAATGGGAAGAACTACTGCTAACAGACAACCTAGCAATTAGTGCTATCATTCATCACTGTCCTGGGTGCTATTTAAAGAAACAAGTACAGGGTGCACTTCCCAGAGAGGTGGGTGCTGACAAGGCCTCAAGATCACCCATAGAACTGCTGCCCACTTCCTCCTTCCATATCCCAGGGGCCTCATCCTGCTACTAGAGAAAAAATGATCTTAGAAAGTTTCAGGAGTTGTGCAAAAAAAAAGAGTATCAAAAAAAGGTCAAATTGCCTGGCGCTGGTGGCTCACGCCTGTAATCCTAGCTACTCAGGAGGCTGAGATGTGAGCATTACAGTTCAAAACCAGCCCAGGCAGGAAAGTCTGTGAGACTCTTATCTCCAGTTAACCACCAGAAAATCATAAGTGCTGCTGTGGCTCAAGTGGTAGAGCACTCACCTTGAGCTGAAGAGCTAAGGGACATCGCCCAGGCTCAGAGTTCAAGCCCCATGACTGA